TGTCACCAACCAACTTGGCTGCCTCGTTGCTCACCCTTAATCCCAGGTCATTTCCGAACAAGCAACCCCCAACCGCTGGTGCCTGGGGAACCTACATTCACCCCTCCTTCCTGAGTGAACGCTTACTCCAACTGCTCCTGTTCTTAGCTCTTTATCCATTATTCCCGGGTCCTGCTCCATAAAGACACTCACCCAGGGTCATTGTCCCAGGATGACCACGTTTTCTCTGGAGACTTTGCTGCTTAACTTGGAAAGGTTGGTGACCGGGCCTCCTAGATTCCTTGCCTGCCTTCTTGCTGACACCAGTGAGGACTATCAATGGAAAAACCATGTTGATTCTTTTTGATAACTTCATCTTCAATCATGCTTTCCACCATTTACCCAGAACAAGTGTTAAACTAAATAAATCCCCATTTCAGTTCATTAAGGCCCTTTAGTTGGGTGCCATCTGGGGAAATAGAGTGGTGTGGCTTGCCTTCCTTCCCTCTGCCATTCATTTCAGTTCTAACTCAGAGCAGGCAAGCCGATGACCGTGGCCGGCTTGTCTCAGGACACGCTTCTGTCTGGCAGGCTGGAGGACTGTCCTACACGCCCCGCACATTCTCTTTCTTCATGCCAGCTGCCTGCAAGACTGACTTTTCTTTGTTTTCTTTACCCTGCTTAAATTTTTAAGACAAACAGCCGTGTAACACATCTCCTAATGAAACTGTTTTAGAGTAATTAATTATGTATCAGCCTTGTTTGCATGCCCGCTGCAGCTCTCTTTGCCTCAGCCGAGGCTTTGATCTGTCAAAGGCTAAATGGGAGATAAATAATGAAATTACAAAGCCGCCTGGGTGGAAATAAACACATTCCAGGGGATGGCAAACAGGGAAGAGGTCACCTTTAGCAAGCCACATCCCTGCTTCCAACCCAAGTTTCTGAGGGATCATAACCGTAAGCTGTTTCCTCCTGGCTCCCATCTTCTCCAGGCAGCCTCTCTGGAAAGAGGCTGGTGAAAGCGTGTGGGGGATCCTGCTCTGGATGACCAGGTAACGGCATCCTGGAACCCCTGACCGCAGCAGTGTAGCTTCCAAAATAATCTTCTGCTGCCCAGCTGGGTCCAGCAGCAGCGGCACCAGGGTCAGCCTCCACCCGCTGTTGAGGGTCTGGAAAGAGGCCGTAGCAAAAGAAGCCACCACCTGCCCTTGTGGACAATGACATGCCTAAGAGGGCCTGGGGCATGGAAAAGCTGCTGCGCCTCCTGTTTGGGTGGAAGACCTTCTCTAGCGCATGAGGCCTCCTAGGGGGACTTTTGTGGTGTGTGTGGATGGTGTGGCCCATCACTGCACACTGCAACTTAGAGAGGCGTGTGCATGTTAGTCATAGAGAAGGTGATAAGCTACAGTGGGAGAACTATAGAGGAATGTGGAGAGATGCTGTCGGTCCAAATAGGAGCAGGTTGGCACATGTGGCACCAGGTGGGGAAGAATTATTTGAGACGGGCTGCTTCTAGCTCTGTATTTGCTGCTGCTCTTCTCTGGCCACTTCCATGGATGGGATGGCTGTGAGCAGCTTCAGGCTTCTGCTGTCATCCCTCTTGCTTGAGGCCCATTCATATACACAAGGAATGGAATTCAGTAAAACTCATTAGCCTAACACCAGACAGATAAGATGAGTGCTGAGATGGTGGTGTCTCCAGCACACAAAGCTTCTCTGAGGCTCTGCCACAGCCAGATAATTGCTTTAAACCCAGCACACCGTGCATTAATGCATTGACAATGGAAGACCTAAGACCCAACAGACTTGGGGAGGTGGAGGAAGGGGGCAGAGGGATGTTCCTTCTTCCCCTGTGAAGATCTCATCCAGGTGAATGAAGCTGGACTGGAGACAGGGTAAAAGGGTTGGCTGGCCAGGTGGAGCTGACCAGGACCAACAGCTGGAAGCAAGATGGGTGACAAATTTCTTTCTGAGTCAGTCTGTTTCTCATTAGAGATGCCTGCTTCTAATGACTGATAGGGCTCACTGAAGCTTGTTCCGAGCCAGTTTTTCCTTGCAGGCAGAACACAAGCAGGGAATGCTTCTCAGCATCTGCAAAGAGTCTGTCCTTCACCTAAATGGTCCTCCCACCCATTCTCCTAGGCTGCTGTATGAGTACAGAAGGCAAGGAGCTTTTCCCAGCTGGTCACCCACCTCCCTGTGCCTGAAATGTCCACTCGGGGAGGAGCCAAGCACAGCTTTATTTCGCCGTGATACTCTGGTGTGGGGGTCTTGGCTCATCCCCTTGAATCTCTGGGTTATTTCAGAATTCATGTTGGTGTCTTCCAGAAGCCAGGAACCTTCTGCCAATGTGAAACTGGTGCTGGGGCAGCAAAACTCCCCACAAAAAGTGGGAGAGAAGACCCTGTGACCCCATGGGAGGAATTCCAGTGCATGAGCTGAATGGGGGTTGGGAGACTGGAGGTATCTCTGCACTGCAAGGTAGCCCAGAAGGGAATCTGCAATTGCGGGAATCCAGCTGCAAAGGAGCAAAGATGTTTCCCTGAGTTCGCACAGCCCTTTAGAGTGCATTCTTGCTCC